CTCGCTTTGCTCACCTCCGTTCATTCACTCTTACCACTTTATTTACTGCTTTCAATAGATTAGAAGTTTTGGATCCGCTGTAAGTGAATCCCTTCCTGCTATTTCCGTCGCTTTTTCAAAGATCTTCACCTATGAAATTCATGACTTAAAATCCTTGTGTTCGACCTGGAAACTCACCAGTAAAAAGAGTATAAATAATTATGATAACTACTCAGGGTCTACAACCACATGATTTACTATATCTGATCGCTTTTCTATAAACATCACTCTCGGATTTTCGAATATAAATTCCCTGTGGATTTGTAACAAAATTACGAAATACAAATTATCGGTTATCAGGTACATTGACTTATTGAAAAAATGTAGTTTAATTTGTGTAATGCACTTGTAATATTTCTAAAATGCATGTGTTGAATTTAATGTTCTATGTTTAAAGTGGAAGCGTACCAAAAGATGAAGATATATGTGAATCGTGAGTGATTAAATGATTGGTCTTCCAAGATCAGAGCGTCGGCTTCTTTTTTATCCTTGACGGGTGAGGAGTAGAAACTGCAGGGAGAGTAAAATCTCTATACGGCGCTCTGTCTTGGGGATCTAACTCTAGCCTATTTATATTATGGCAAACATAATTGTAATTGGAATTATATCATTAGTTAATATTATTAATTTGTCACGTCACCAAAATAATAATATTATATATGGGTATCTACACTTTCATTCCATAACAATCAGGTCCATTAATCAATAATTAATTATATTAATTAGACCACTTAAAGTAATATGATTGAATAAAATAATGACTTTAACAATATGTTCAATATACATATTTGATCTCAAATCCAACAATCTCCCACTGGATCTAGTATGTGTCCAAATGAACACATTGTTCTTTATGAACTCAATTTACAGTCATTACAAGACAAAACTTGCAACAATCTGGTCCATCAATCATAACAATATAGGACTAAAAAAGCATTCTCCGTATCAACAACTAAACTCACAGTAATAACGGATATCACTGTAATCAAATGATATAGATCAATCATAGAACGTGTAGAGAGAAAATTACATAAGTGTGATATGAACATGTCAATTTTTTACCGGTCCAAACCGAATGAGATCGTAAATTACTTAAGCATAATGTCCAAAATATCATAAACGGAAATAATGATCAAAAAGTAAAGAAGAAATATTGAGTGAATGAAAAAAGAAAATAAATGTGTACTCCCACTAGAGTGAAGCTTCTCTGATATGGAACACACCCATATGAGCAATATGCTCCTGGAAGACTTTAGGTATTACACCTTTAGTTAGGGGGTTTGGTAACATAGATTTTATCCCTAAGTGCTCAATCGAAATCTGATGATCTTTCAACCTCTTCTTCACAACTAGGAACTTGATGTCAATATGCTTTGACATGGATGAGCTATAATTGTCATTGGAGTACTCAACGACTTACTTGTTGTCACAAAATATCTTGATAGGTTTTTCAACCATCGGAATGATTTGCAGCCCAATGACAAGGTTCTTTAGCCAAATCACTTACTGTGATGCCTCAAAACACGCCACGAACTCAGCTTCCATTGTGGAACTGGTAACGAGTGTATGTTTGGCACTGCACCAAGTGGTGGCCCCACTAGCAAACATATAAGCGTAGCCATATATATGCTCGACATTCTAGTTTCCTACAATGAAGCCTAAATATGGAATCAAAATGTACTAACCAAAAATTGTATGACTCTAGTTTATAATGACACAAACGTTTAGGTCATATTTCAATAACCAGAGTTGAAAGACTCATTAAGATGGAATCCTTGATTCCATAAATTTTTTAGACTTTGACGTTTGTATCGATTACATTAAGGGTAAACAAACCAAGGTTAAAAGGACATGTGCTTATTGAGCTACACATGTCTTAGAATTGATATATACAGACATTTGTAGGTCTTTTTTCACTTATTCGTGGAACGGTCAACAATATTTTGTATCATTCATAGACAATTATTCTCAATATGGTCATTTGTACCTTATTAAAGAAAAATCTAAGGCACTGGACATGTTTAAATCATTTAAGGTTGAAGTTGAAAATCAACTCAACAAACACATTAAGACTACCAGATCTGACTGTAGAGGAGAATATTACGGCAGAAATGATGGCTCGGGTGAACAACGTCCAGGTCCTTTTGCTGGCTTCCTTAAGGAGTGTGGAATTTTCCCTCAATACACCATGTTCGGTTCACCTAGCATGAACGATATTGTTGAGAGACGAAACTGCATATTGAAGGATATGGTTCGAAGTTTGATTAGTCAATCTTCTTTGCCACCATCATTATGGGGAGAAGCACTAAATATAGCAGTCTACATCCTTAATCCAGTGCCAACTAAGGTGACTGCCAAAACACCCTATGAATTCTGGATTGGGCACAAGCCTAGCTTAAATCATCTTAGGATGTAGGGTTGTCCAACTGAGGCGAAGGCCTATAGGCCAAATAAACCAAAGCTATCACCTCGTATAGTGAATAGTTATATCATTGGCTATTCGGAAGGGTTAAGGTGGTATAAATTTTATGATCTCACATCAAGAACTATTTTTTAGACGGCCACTGCCAATTTCTTTGAGGATGTTGAGTGTGGGGGTCGAAATACTGTTTTAGACTTCACTTTTGAGGAACAAGAAATTATTGATGTGATTGAACAAACACCTCAAGAGCTAGCAGTTATTCCAACTCCCATAGAGTTTCAAAGTTCGACTGAAGAACCCGTTCATATATAACAGGAACCTATGTCTACGTAAGAAAATCAACAAACTCAAGAACATACAATTCAAGAGCCAACGCAATTGCGTAGATCCACTAGAGAGCGGAGAAATGTCATTTCGGATGATTATGTGACATTTCTTCAAGAAAGTGAAGAAAATGATGGCATAAATGAGGATGATCCAATTAATATTTATCATTGTATTCTTTTTATTTATACTAATATATTTTCTTTGATTATTTGATATAGAGAAACATCGATGTTTTGTTAACCGTCTGATCAAGCTGATATTTTCAGGAAATGTTCGTGATTCGTTGATCTTTCAATCCAACGGTAAAATTTGCGATTGGATATTTGTAGTTTAACCAAAATTTTATATAAAGTGACATATTTTTTTGTTCGTAATCCTGATCTTAATTTTTCTAAGTTTATGATTTTCTTCGATTGATATAGTGGTGATTGAGGCGTGTTTACACACATTCTTGAAAAGAATCTTATATACAATTTGATCATAGTAGATTTTCTTTTTGATTTGTTTGACCCGTGATTTTTATTTTATCTTAAAAGGTTTTTTATGATAATTTTTTTTATTTTTAATATTTTATTTCCAATATAATTTATTATTATTTTTATAATTTTGCAAGGGGATTGCGTTTTCTATTAATATACATAGTTAAATTCTTACAATAATTTTTTTGGATGAACTGTTTTTTTAGTCTCGTAACTGGACCTCTTTATCATTTTAGTCTCGTAACTGGAGGCTGTTTTAAACTAGTCTCGTAACTAGAAAATTTTCTCATTTTAGTCATCAATGCCTAGGTGGCACCTCCGTGGCAAACTGGCGGACACGTGTTGGCCAGATCAGAGCCACGTGGCTGACACGTGTCTGCCACATGGATAATTTTTATTTTTTTAATTTTATTTTTTAATAAAAAATAATATAATTAATATTATATTTATTAAGTTGTTTATATAAAAATTGGGTCCTAAATCAAACAACTTAAACTCAGCGCAGTGCATCCCCCTTCATCTGTTGTTGCCGCTGTTGCGTCTTCTTTCTTCTTTGTTCAATCCGAGTATCTTGAATATGTGGTTATATGAGATTATTGATTTGTTTTACTTTCTTTCATTTCAATTTTAATTCATAAATTTATTTGTTCTTTCTTTATTTCGATTTAAATATGTGTATAATTTAAAATTTTATTATGTTACTCTTGATTTTAATTTTTTATTAAAATAGTTTACGTTATATATGATTAAATTAGAATAAAATTTATAATTTAGATTATATTATGAATTTTGATAAATTTGTTTTTACATCTATATAATTAGATTTTATGCTTTAGGTAGAAAATTTTAAAAAGAAAACTATCTTGTGATGGTTCGAGTGAAAGTAGTTCCAACAATCTTTCTCAACTGAAATGTTTTCTATCAACACCATCAAAGATAATTGAATCAAAAGATCTTCCGTGGCATCCGGTTGATAGGCCAAAATTTTTGGAATATGACCCCAACCAAAGAGATGAAATAAGACGATTGTATATGCAAAGAGGGTCTTTTCAACCACGTGGCCATGTGTTTCCAACAAAAACAATAGGAAGTAAGGTACGGGGTTTTGTCCCAAAATGGTTGGATAAGTTTCGTTGATTGGATTATAGTGTGAAAACAGACAAAGCTTTTTGTTAATATTGTTATTTGTTTAGAGATTATGTTAGAAACCAAGGCGGGAGTGATGCTTTTGTGCCAGAGGGATTTAATAGTTGGAGTAAGAAGGATAGATTTGGTATTCACATAGGTGATGTTTCTAGTTTTCACAATAAAGTACACAAAAATGTGAAAATCTAATGAAACAAAACCAGTCAATTGTTGTTGCATTTCATAAGTAAAGTGAAGCTGCAAAGAAAGAATACCGAATTAGATTAAATGCTTCAATCGATATTTGTAGATTTTTGGTGAAAAATGCATTACCATTTCGTGGTCATGATTAGTCAGAAAACTCTAAATCTAGAGGTCTCTTTTTGGAAGCATTATCATTATTTGGAAGTGCAAATGAGTCCATTCACAATATTATATTAAGAAATGCTCCAAAGAATAATCAAATGGTGTATCCATCTATTAAGAAGGATATTGTGAATTGTTTGCGAATGAAATACTAAAGTCCATTTTTGAAGAGATTGGTGGTGATGTATTACATGGTTAGTTGATGAGTCTAGTGACATAAAAAAAAAAAAAAAATGATGGCCATGGTTTTGAGATACGTAGATGCACATGGACTTCTTAAGGAGAGATTTATTGGTGTAGTTCATGTGATGAAGACATCATCATTAACTCTTAAATATGCCATCGATTATCTATTTACTAAGGATGGATTGAGTTTGAATCAGGTGAATTTTCATTATTACAATTAGTAAATACATATATTTTTATAATTGAATTAATATTTACTATTTTCAACTTTAATTGAATCAGGTAAGGGGTCAAGGTTATGATGGAGCGAGCAATATCCGATGGGAGTTTAGTAATTTGAAAGCTTTAATCTTGAAAGAGAACAACTCTGCATATTATCTGCATTGTTTTGCCCACCAACTTCAGTTAGTAGTTGTTGTTGTTGCAAAAAAAACACAATGGTGTTGGGAACTTTTTTGATATGCTTGCAACAATGATGAATGTAGTTTGCGCTTCTTACAAATGAAAAGATATGACAAGACTAGAGATAAAATACAAGAAGCTATTTGTAAAGGTGAAATTGAAACTGGAAGAGGATTAAATCAAGAACTCTCTCGTATTCGTGCAGAAGATACACGTTGGGATTCTCACCACAGAATATCAGAAGGTTTGAAAGTAGTTGCAGTGCTTAAATATGTTAAGGAGTATGGCGATAATAGTTTAAGCCGGGGTCAAGCAGATGGCTTTCTAAAATATTTTTAGTCATTTGATTTTGGATTCTATTTGCACTTGATGTTGCACACTCTAGGGCTTACGAATATGTTGTCACGAGCTCTTCAAAGAAAAGATGAAGATATCATTGAAGCAATCTCATTGATCGAAAGAAAAAAAGAATAATTGCAAAAATTTAGAGAACATGGGTTTGATATACTTTTGTAGAGGGTCTATTCATTTTGTCAAAAGCATGGTGTTGAAAACTTAAATATAGAGGATTGTTATGTTACTTCAAGAAATTGAAAAACCACCATCTCCAATCGACACTATTTTGAGGTAGACATTTTCAATATTGTTTTGGATATACAAATTCAAGAGTTTGGTGATCGATTTACCCAGGTTAGTACTGAGTTGCTTACTACTATGGCTGCTTTGAGTCCGCGAGATTCATTTTCTATGTTTGATGCATCAAAGATAGTAAAGTTAACTACATTATATCCATATGATTTTAATAATATGGAAAGAAGTACATTGGAGCGTGAACTTGACATCTACTATAAAACTATACTTCAAGATGAAAGATTTACTTACTTAAATGATATCAGTAGCCTTGATAGATTAATGGTGCAAACAGGAATGCACATTTCATATCCTTATGTCTTTCGATTGTTGAAGCTAGCTTTGGATTTGCTCCGTACATGACCTCTTAGTGTTAGTGAAGGGAATGCGGTATCAGGTTTGCAATGGAGAATCAATCGGTATCTGGGTGGATCCATGGGTGCCTAGACATCACACTTGTAAAAGTATATCCCTTATCTTTCCGGCCTTGATTTCATCGGTGGCCTAGCTCATTGACTGGGACTCAGGCGAATGGAACTTGTGAAAGTTTAAGGGGTTGTTTTTTCGATGTTGGCACTGATCAAATTATGGCTATTAATTCATTTGTTTGTAATTTAATTAAGGACACGGGCCAAATAGAAATAAATTGAAGTTGTGCTGTATGGAAAAAAAATGTTTGTGCAATATGAAATTATAGAAAATGCAGTCAGGACACGTGTCATATGAAATTATATCTCATGTGTTATCATACATACATACATACATTATCTACCTTAATTATTGTATATGTTGAATGAGTCAAATTAGAACTGATCTGATCTGATGATGGTGCTACCGCTGAACGTGAAGGAGATTAGGCCCAACTGGCGGTGCTGATGATGTTAGAGCTGGACAGGAACAACCTGTTGAAGTTGACGTTGCCGATGAGGATTCGTTGCCTCTGAATTCGTGCAATTATCACGGTGTTGTTTGTACTACCAAAAAATAAGTAGAGGGAAGAGGCCCGACTCTTTGAGTGGGCAATGCCGTTAGTAATATTTTCTACTATGCTGCAAATAAAAGGTATGCCACTGAAATCTTCTCTAATCGTGATATTATTTCTGAGGTTGAGGCTCATATTAACAGCTAACTGTATACGGAGCTTCGTTTTAGTGCATACTTGGAGGTAAATCATTTTTTCTATTGGGCTATCCGATTGGAGTGTTCCTGCCCTTATCTTTAAACTTCATCCCATTATTTTTTATTTCAATTTTTTTGATATATATATTTTTTCAAATATCACAATCAAATACTATATATATATTACTTCATAATTAAAATATTATCAACTTTAATTTTATGTAATATTTAGTCTATTTTTTATTGGAATATTTATTCTATTTTTTTATTTCAATATAATACGACATTTTATATAAAAAAATAATAATTACAAAAATTATAAAATAAAACAATAAAAATAAAAATAAAAATAAAAATAAAAATAATTAAAAATAGAAGAGGAAAACATAAATTATAATTATAATTTCAGTATTCCTAACTATAATTTTATTATTTAATCAATTTTTTACTTCAAAAGTAAATAAATTTAAAAAAAACAAAAACAAAAAAATAAAAATTATATATTAATTTGATTTTATTCATATTATATTTTCAATTTTTTTTATTATATTATTTTTAAAAAAACACATAAATTTGAATACTCTATATGCTCTTTTCATTTCATATTTTTTTTATTAATATTGTCATTTTAGTGCATTATGTTATTTCTATTATAAAAAAAAATTACACCTTTTAATCATATTTTAATCTATAATTTTTAAATATTAAATAAATTAATTAATTATCTTAATTTTAGTATATAATTATTTATCTTCTACATTAACTATTCTTACTAATATATTATTTATTAATATATCACTTCTAAAAATTTTGTATCTACTGTGTAAAAGAAATAAATGATGTATTTTTTATATTTCAATTTTTATTTTACTTTTGAAAATATTATTTACAAAAAAACTAATATTTTTAATTTGAAATAAAAAATAATTGGATGAAACTTGTGTTTGAATATACTACCGCTATTCCAAAACAATAGAGATATTGAGATGAACACAAAAATTAAGGAGTAAAATATTTTTAGAAAGACAAAAATATCTCTACTTTACGTAATTTTTGTAAAAAAATTGAGATAGTTTTGTAAAATTATAGGGAACTTGTTACAAAAATAGAAATGAAATTATTATTTTGGGACAGACGAAAATGACATAATAGGACTATTGTTTGGGGACTGAAAGAGTATATATTAAAAATATCAATAATAAATATAATTTATAGTTTAAAAAATACTCATTCCATCCCGCATAAGGTGATACAATTAATTTTTTGATTTTTTGAACGAGTTAAGTGAATATTATTAAATAAGATAATTTTAAAGTGTTGTAATAAGAGAGAGAAATATGTATTTATTTTTTGTATTTGAGTGATGTGATGTTATAAAGTACTCCCTCCGTCCCACCACACTTAACATTATTTTTATTTTTGTCTGTCCCATAACAATTGATACATTTCTATTTTTGGTAAAAATAATTAATTCAAAACATATTTAACAAATATAAATCAACTTAATTGACTACATAATATACAACATCATATGAGGTAGGACCCATTTAAAACCCCTTTATTTCTACATTTCTCCTCAAAAAAATAAATATTTTTATCTATATTTAAAACTACACATCTTTTATAAAATTGATTTATGTTAATTATAAATAAACAAAAATATTTTTTTATTTACTTGTATTATAGAAAATTTTATTCTCTACAAAATAATATCCATATTGCATATATTTTTTAATTGTTATATAATTTTTAAATATTTAAACATATATTCTAATTTTTTTAATCATATATATTAAATTTACTTTAAAAGTATAAATATTATTAATTATACAAAAAAATAATATAATAATATCATAATTAATTATTATTAACTAATTAAACATCATCGCCTTAAATACCGTGTCCCTAATCAAATGGTTCAAATGTAATGGGACGGAGGGAGTATAATGTATATTTATTAGAAAATTATATATTTCTTATTTCAAAAATATTGTATGATATATGAGACAATTCAAAACTAATATTATAAGGTACATGGAAGAAGTACATAAATTCTAAATTATATTAATACTCTCTCTTCTTCGTATACATGAGTTTATTTGTGGAAATAAGAGAATAGGGAAATGTTGGAACAAAGTATTGGATGCTCAAGTTAGACAAAGATGATAGATCAACTCTTAAGTAAGCTTACTCTTAGCTAGATAGGTTCTCTATTAGAGTTATTATTGCAGTGCAATGTTAATGTCCAGTTTTTCATGCTTAATTAAGGGTCTGTTTCTTCAAGCTTGGTTTGGGGGAAAACACTGTACCCCAACCAGTGTTTGCACAGTATTTTCCCCCATACAAGACCGGTTCCCCCCAAGCAGACATTAGCTGCAAATAGCAGCAAAAACTGCATTTCTCTCTTTTTTTTTTTTTTCAAATATTATAAAAATTTAAATATATATACGTTTGGTATAATATAAATTCATAATCAAATCATACCATATAAGTTTTATCAATTAAATTTAATACACATTTATATTATTTTATTCATTATCCATCAAATTAATACACATCAAAACTCCCCAAACCTCAACCAAATCTAAACACAAAAGAAACAACAAAACTCAAACTTATCCCAAAATTTAAATAAAAACCAAACTCAAATTCAAATTCCCTCCGGCCCCTTTAAAGAAATACACCCTAAGTAAACACACCCTAAGTAAGGAAAGCAAGAGGAGAGAGTAATATGTTGTGCATGTTTGTCGGGTGTATCATATTTGTGTAAAGTATGAAGATAAGTTTAGTGGGGGGCTTATATATTAATATTCCTCAAATGTAGATTTTAATATCAAATTGGATTAATAAACATCGTATTTTTTTTTTATTTTTTTTCGTTTATGTTCACACTTGTCTAGCTTTAGCCATTGTATACTTACATACACCAATGTTATAACCACGTCATAATCTTGTGTTAAAAATTGTATTTACTTATTTTGGTTGCATTCTTCCGTTGCCAAGAATTTCGAAGCTCCGACGAATTAAAACAAGGGGACTAGTGTTGTACTGGAAAGTTTAATATTTAAGGGAGAATTGTCATATTTGTGCTGGACAATTCGTTGAAAATTTCGCTGGAAAAATATTGGAGGGAAACAAGAAAGAAATGAGCTCTCCTTGGTTTGCTGTCAAATGGAGTGAACGGAGAGGGCCTTTTATAGGCACCTTCACCCTTGGGGTTTAAATTCTGAGCCGAAACCGCCAACTCTTAATAGCCTTTAACTGCCGGTCATAATTCCAGTAAGGTTGGGTCATAACACTAAATTGACTTTCGATCATAAATATATTATTTTAATTTTCAAATTTCAAATAATAATTTACCATACATATATATAATTATAATTTTTGGACTATATTTTTGTTACACTCATATTTTCTTAGGCTTCAACAAAATATATTTTGTTTCGATTTGGCTCCAAAGCATAATAGTCTTTGTAAAGTCTAGAATTTACCAAACTCAAGCCCAAACCCACGACCACAACCGAGACCTTTGATCCATAGACAAAAGACATACTCATGTACTTATGTAATTTTTTTGATCCGGGCAGATTGCACGCACGTCTGTAATTTACCGACACTCAATGTCTAACGATGCTGTTAATAACCCTCAACCAAACATATACAAACTAGGACATTTACCATTAAACTATGTTATAATTTTGGTATTTATTTAAAACATTAATATATATATTTTAAAATTTAAATATTAATTTTAAAACTGGGTCGGGTTAGGCATAGCCGGACCTTCATAAGCCCGGGCACGGCCCGTTTCATTAGCATATCGGGCCAGGCATAGTCCAAAATTTTTGGACCTATTTTTTTTAGGCTCAAGCATGATTTCGAACTTTCTGGCCGTACTTATTTTTGTCACATTTATGTACAGTAGGGGTGCCAATGGAAGCCAACGGTGTTGCTCCCTAATAATTTAAGGGTGTGTTTCTTTTTGTTAAGTTTGTAAAAAATTGATTTGGATTTAATATTAAAATAATATTTGATGAGATGTTTTGTGATTTTTTTTTTTTTTCGAGAAATGTAGAGTCCAAATAGTAATAGTTATTTCAGTTATTTCAAATTTATGAAGATTTTTTTAAAAAAAAACAGTTAAAAAAAGAAAAATAAATCAAAACTTTGACTGCATATATTTTTTAAAAATTTTAATCATATTATTTACTTAGAAAATATATATTATGTATTAAAATTATTTTATAGAGCCATAAATATGGAGACATGATATTCATATAGATATGATCATATAATATGGAGTAGTAATATAAATCCCATGCAACAACAACTAATTTTATTTCTTAACGAACAAAATGTCATCCTGCTGGCCATAAATCGAAGTATGTCTCCCAATGAATTTAAATAATAAAATAGCGCGAAATGAATGAAATAAGCTTAAGGGGGGAAATTACACATCAAAGCTGCAGCAGCAGCAGCTGTTTAGGCTCCAGAATGCGACACTGGAGCAGTCACAAACTGCCCATCCTTATATGTGTGCACATATTGCTGCGGTAGAGAATGTTCTCCCTGCATCAACAAATCATATTCTTAATCATATTCCTACTCATACTTAACCTCATTTCGATTCAATACCTGCTTCTTCCATTGATCATACTGTAAGAGTTAACCAGTTGGGCCAAGAATAAAAAAATTACTTTTTCATGATACGTTTCGTGGCAGTCATCTACCCGAGGTTTACTACATTTTTCTTTATACGCAGCATGACCCGATCCGATGTAGCAGAAACACTACTTCTAATAAGGGGTGATAAAATGCATACACTATGCTGCTCTAATTTAGCACGCATATAAGAAATGAAAACATACATACATACATACATACCCATTCGCCATCTGATTCTGATGCAGGTACCAGTACATTAATCTCAGTGGACTTGGCTGTTGTTATAGAAGTCTCCAATGAATCTTTGCTCAAGTACATCTGGCAACCTGAGGTGTTGTCCACTGAAATCGAGGGAGCCAACCCCTGCAAAAAAGCTATGATGTAGGGTTGAACAAATTCGAGATATGGTAAAGTCCATCCTTACTTACCTGGCACTGCACCTCCACGCCATTACAGTTCACAATCTCACAAGCAGCCACAACATCCTAAGATGGAATTTGAAAGAGAAGTCAAGTTCAAATGTATAAGCTATATGTGCCATCATCGATCAATCCCTCATTTAAAAGTAGTAATGTCTTACGGACCTTGAATACCACCCCGACTTTAGTGCATTTGTCTACTGTAACGTTGTTTACTTTTCCTGCATGTAGTTAGTTGTACTCACATTAAACCAAACAATTTGTAGATGAACATTATTATTTGTTCTTTGATAACTATACCTTGGATTTGGAGAACAGAATTCTTGCACCCAAATATGTATACGGTTTGCTTTGGATCACAATCATCAATAACTAAATTTTTTTGTTCAATCTGATTTTCCACCACCCACCTGAATGCACAGCATTACAGCAGCTCAGTTCATAAAAAAGAATCAAAGAATTGAAGAATCATATATATATGTATGTGTGTGAGAGAGAGAGAGAGAGAGGCTAAGCATTTGCTTACTTTCTACCCATTTGAAGTTCTAGCTTCGGAGGCCCTGTCTTGGGCTTCGAACTTGAACTGGAACTAGCAGAGGTTTGTTTCTCAGAGACTGGAACAGCACCAGTTCTGTCTTTCCGGTTCTTGGTCTTCATGTCATCAGTGACTTTCCTCAAGCCTGCAAGTTCAAAAGGGAAAGAAAAAATGGTTAAAGATGTCACAATACACAAGATTCATGATAGTGTTGTCCATTACCAGAAGTAACATTCCCAGAACTAATGTCCTGGAAAACAGCTGACATCCCTTGTGATGATGAAGGCTTGGCTGTCTGGGAACTGAAATTAGCCGGAGGAGGAGGGGCTGGGGCAGCTGCTGGGCGTGCTTTCACCGTCTTCCCGGTGGCACTCCATACAGGGCCCAATGGGTAATGACTTTTCACATAATCCCTCAGGCCAGGTACATAGAGATCCTTTAATGCCTTTACCCACTCAACGTGGTTTGCATCCTTGCTTCGGTACTCCACAAGAACCTACCCAATAGATTTTCAAGATAAAGAAAGGAGGCTACTACATAATAATTCACAACAGCATCTCAAATCACCAAATAATGTACACCAAGTGGAAATCCTCTCAAGATGTATAACATATACATACATATATATATATATATTACCAAATCATACTATCAAATTAAACACAGTGAAAATCCTCCTAGGGATGGATATATAAGACCATAAGATACCAGTGGTACTACTCAAACTATGTGGAAAAGTGTGGCTGCTAGGAAAAACTCAGGTGCAAGGAATACAGCATTTCTATAATTTCTCTCATCTTGAAATCTGTTTCAATTATTGGCTATGGATTAATCGTACGGATGATGAAAAACAGAACGATATTATCTACCTTGTTGCTATAGAACTCTGCCATATTCCAACTTTCTTCAACATGTGCAACAGGCATGCTCATGCCTACATTGAGACAGCATATGTTGTCAAAGTAGGAACAGAAGACAAAGGGCTAGCTAAACCAGCAATACTACAAATCTGTCCAAACTTTTCTTACCACAATTTTTTCCTGTGTATGCAATCCATACGAGTGCGTTGACACTCTCGGCACCTGTCCTCAGGTGGTTGAAAAAATCAGACCTCTTTCCCTCCGTCAGCGTAGAAGCTTTCGCAATTACATCATTTAATGGCTTCAGGAATTCAACCAAACCGGCCGTGTCAGGTTTCTGCACAATTTGAACAACAATGTCTTAGAATTTTCAAAAAAAAAAAATGGCAGCCGAATCATAGAGTAATATATAGTAAAAACTTAAAAAACAATTTCAAGCACAGATACAATAATTGAGAGCACCTATACAATTGATACGTAGATAAGGTGATATGCTTTACAACAACTATTCAATAGCGTTATCTGGTCATCTAATATTTGCCATAAACCAAACCGAAGAGATTCAATACGTGTACTACCAAATTTTTACAAATCTATAGGATTGAAATTAATGATGGCGGAAATAATAATTTTATCAGCAATAACAGCGTTGAATATTATGTTAATAGCATCAACACATAGATAAATGCCGAATCATTTCAATCATATGAAAAATGTGAACTGCAATACTCTAATTTCAATCAGTTCTCCTTATTTCAGCAATAGATAATTACGAACAACGAATCGGAAACTATTAAATCACCGTTACCTAGCAGAGATCTTAAAATGATAATAATAACCTGAGTTTCCTTGATTTTAATAAGCAGGTCTTTCTGGACATGAAATGCCTGCTGAATGATCCTGGAAACATCCAAAACCTGTCCGTCGATCTTTTCAGCGGCGCTCATAACACTCCCGACGTATTGTGAAATGAGATCGTCAAATGCCGAAATTGAGGCATCCTTGGCGGCATCTCCACCTGACTCCGCCGCAGCTCCGCCAGCCAGAGACTCCAACCGCGTCACCGCGGATTCCAACCGCTTGATCAAGTTCTCGTCCATAATGCTGATCTTTTCAGATTCTCACGAGCAAATTAAACACCTGGAACGACTCGTGTCCATGGGATCAAATTGGTTTGGATGTGGATGTGGATGTGGTTGGCGATGCGGATCGATGTGAAACAAATTCAATTCAATTGTTTCGCGTTATAGTTACGTTTGTGCGATCATACTTTTGCAGTTTGAAGGAATGAATGTTTGTTGTACACGTGTTCATCTGTTTGCAGGATCAGAGGAATGAATTGAGAATATAGATTATGGTAGTCAGTAATCTTTTTTTTTTTTTTTTTTTTTTTTTTTTTTTTTTTTTTAAAGACAAACAAACTAACTTCTAATACTCCCTCTTGCTCATCTTATTTGTTAATTATTTTTATTTTAGTATATTCATTTTATTTGTCTTTTTTCGCATTAAATAAATATTTTATATATTTTAATTATATTAATAATTTTATATTAATAATTTTTAATTTTAATTAAATTAATTAGTTATTTTAATTTTAAATTATAATTGTTTATACTATCGTGTGTATATATATACACTGGTGTGTAACTCTTGTTATGCATGAATTATTTTTAAATTAAATTATAATACCGATTTAATATCTTTTATAAATAATACTTATAGTTTATATATATATTATAGACACTAAAAATATATGTCTAAAATTAATTAAATATCATGTATTTTGGAAAAAAAATAAAATTTCAATAAAATAAATATATGGTATTTAATTATACATATATATTAATTTTTGTACAATAAATATCAACCATTAATGCAAAAATCTGCTCAAAATGGAAGATATCGTACAAATATTACGTGCATAAATAGAGCCATAATCAATTTGGCAGCAAAATAAATTAATCTTGTCAATAAAGGAAGTATATAAATTAATATCTTCCGAAAAGGGCAATGATATAAAGATCTTGGCGAGAAAGGAAGGTGCACAATCAAATCCGTCAATAATGGAAAAGAGCATCCGATGGAAAAAGAAAGATTATAAAATCTTCCCATTGGCCAATCAAAATGCGCCACGTGTCACCATTGAAAAAGGAAGCCGAAGCCACACATCCCCTATAAATAGGAGTCATGGCCAATTCATTTGAGACACCGAAGTTGCATCGAGGATTCAAGCAAAGGGGTAAGTCTCTATACTCTCTCTGTATTGTTCTTCATGTTCTTCGTGTCCTTCGAAGCGTTCTTCGTCGAAAGTCACTAATTTGGACAAATGATCTAATATTGGTTGACGAATCGATGAACTTAACGTTATTCGTCGTATGTCCAAGCTGGAGGAAGGATCAAAGCTCTCAAAGCCGTCGAGAAATTCGTCAAAGCCAAGGGAAGGTCTTCAAAGTTTCTCTCAAAGCTTCGAGGTGTTCATCGCGTTCTTCATAAAAGGTGCAAATTCGGCCCTCTTGGATCCAAAAGTCAAAGGGACACACCGCCAAAAACGTTACGGAGCATCAAATCTACCTCCTCAAAGATCAAAGTCCGGATCGTCGAAAGAAGACAACAAATCCAAAGACGATGATCAAATCGCCAATACGGAGACTAAAGTTCTCCAAAAAGCGGCAAAGCCAAAACAAATGTCAAAGTCGTGGATCGTCTAAAGAAGACAACAAATCCAAAGACGATGATCAAATCGCCAACACGGAGACCAAAGTCCTCCAAAAGCGGCAAAGCCAAATCAAATATCAAAGCCTCGGATCGTCTAAAAAAAAGACATCAAATCCAAAGCTGACGATCAAATCGTCCGCACGGAGACCAAAATTCTCCAAAAGCCGGCAAAGTCAAACTGAAGACCAAACCTCTTCAGATCAAAGAAGCCATCGAAAACCAAGTTGGAAAATAAATCGACCCGGAAGGAGAATCAAAGGACCCATTTAAAGAATAGGACCGGTTTTAAATTCAAATCAAATATAATTTGTACAAATTTTGTGTTTATAAAAATAACACAATTTTTTGTCTACAGATTTTTGGCACGCCCAGTGGGACCTCTTTACCTTTCATCTCTCTTTCCGACGAACTTTCAACAACCAATGGCTTCCTATAAGATCAAGACTTCCAACGTTGCGTCAAAAGTTGCTGTTCAAGCCGCCGTCGTCGCGAAAGAAGTTGGCGCACCCATCGCGTCCAAAACCTCAAACGCTTCGACAAATACTGGAATGACAACACGAAGCATGACCAAAAGAACATTGTCGTTATCTGAAGACACTTCTCCAAAAATCACAGAGCAAAGTCCACTCTATGAAGAAGACGAAAACTTTAAGAGTACTGCCGCACTGTTCACCCCTCAACAAACTGCAATTCATTCAACCACATCAAGCTCTGCTCCGGTGATGACTACCAACGCTTCAAATATTGAGGACCCAAAGATTGTGGATCAAAGTCTTTTATGCGAGGAATATAAAAGCTTCAAAGGTACTTTTATGCCACCTACTCATCGGCCAATTTCAGGTCATTCAACCGCATCAAGCTCTGTTCTGGTGATGACTATCAACACTTCTAATATAGAAGATCAACTTGCAACATTGGTCAAAATCGTTGAAGGAATGTCTCAACACATGCAACAACAAGACATCCTCATTGAAAAACTTCTCACAAAGCTGGACAAGCCTGAAAAAGCCGGCCATACAACTGAAAAGCAACAATCTTCCCCAATGGTCCAAAATAAAACGGCAACATTTGTGGAGCAACGTCATGGCAAAGAAAAGGAGGCGGAATTAAATCCATTTCAAGGATCATCCAACTCCTTCATCCATATATCCCAACTTGACAAATACATCAATGGGGCAATCAAAAGACAATTCGAAGGGAGTTCAAGGCCGACGCACACTTACGCCAAGCCTTACACTGCAAGGATTGACGCCCTCAAAATGCCTACGAGCTATCAACCACCAAAGTTTCAACAATTTGACGGCAAAGGCAACCCAAAGCAACATATACCGCACTTTGTCGAGACATGCAACGATGCTGGAACATATGGAAACCTCCTAGTCAAACAATTTGTGCGGTCACTAAACGGCAACGCCTTCGACTGGTACATCAACTTAGAGGCTGGCTCCATCGACAATTGGGAACAGCTAAAGTAGGAGTTCTTGAATCGGTTCTACAGCACAAAGAGAACCATCAGTATGACTGAACTCACCAACAGCCGCCAATGGAAAGATGAGCTAGTAATTGACTACATCAACCGCTGGAGAAGTCTAAGCCTCAACTGCAAAGACAGTCTGTCCGAGGCTTCCAGCATAGAAATGTGCATTCAAGGGATGCAATGGGGATTAAAATACATCCTACAAGGGATCCGACCCTACACTTTTGAAGAACTCGCCACTCGCGCTCATGATATGGAATTGAGCATGATGTCTAGTGGAATGTATGGACCGCCTACTGAAGATTTCTCAGATGACGAGAAATACAACACTTCAAACAGTGGGGGCAATCATACCTACAACCCTCATGGAAACGAGGATAAACTTTCTACAATCTCCTAGAAACGAGGATAAACTTTCTTCAATCTCCTGGAAACGAGGATAAACTTTCTTCAATCTCCTGGAAACGAGGATAAACTTTCTACAATCTCCTAGAAACGAGGATAAACTTTCTTCAATCTCCTGGAAACGAGGATAAACTTTCTACACTCTCCTAGAAACGAGGATAAACTTTCTTCAATCTCCTAGAAACGAGGATAAACTTTCTTCAATCTCCTGGAAACGAGGATAAACTTTCTACACTCTCCTAGAAACGAGGATAAACTTTCTTCAATCTTCTGGAAACGAGGATAAACTTTCTACAATCTCCTGGAAACGAGGATAAACTTTCTACAATCTCCTAGAAACGAGGATAAACTTTCTTCAATCTCCTGGAAACGAGGATAAACTTTCTACAATCTCCTAGAAACGAGGATAAACTTTCTTCAATCTCCTGGAAACGAGGATAAACTTTCTTCAATCTCCTGGAAACGAGGATAAACTTTCTTCAATCTCCTAGAAACGAGGATAAACTTTCTACAATCTTCTAGAAACAAGTATAAACTTTCTTCAATCTCCTGGGAATGAGGATAAACTTTCTAACAAGACTCCTTAACACAAGAATAAACTGTTTAACAAAAACAAACAAATTCAATTTGTTTTGAACTACGTTATGACTTGATTCCTTAACCGGATACGTAGGCAACTTAGAATATAACTCCGAGTTCAACCAATTATGCCAAAAAAAAAGAAGAAAAGCCCTAAAAAAATAAATTGGGCAAAAAAAAGTCCAAAAAAAAATCGGGCTTAAAAAAAATCAATTGGACAAAAAAATCTCGTCCGAAAAAAAAAGGAAAAAAGAAAAAACCCTTTGAAAAAAATATTGGCTAAAAAAAATCAAAAACTGATAGCCATAAAAACAAATCAGTCAAAAAATAAATTGACTTATGTTTCGAGACTCATTCACACCTTAAACGCTTTGCATCGGCCTAAAAGAGTCTTGAGTGGGCATTTTGTAGACACTAAAAATATATGTCTAAAATCAATTAAATATCATGTATTTTGGAAGAAAATAAAATTTCAATAAAATAAATATACGGTATTTAATTATGCACATATATTAATTTTTGTACAATAAATATCAACCATTAATGCAAAAATCTGCTTAAAATGGAAGATATCGTACAAATATTACGTGCATAAATAAAGCCATAATCAATTTGGCAGCAAAATAAACTAATCTTGTCAATAAATGAAGTATATAAATTAATATCTTCCGAAAAAGGGCAATGATATAAAGATCTTGGCGAGAAAGGAAGGTGCACAATCAAATCCGTCAATAATGGAAAAGAGCATCCGATGGAAAATGAAAGATTATAAAATCTTCCTATTGGCCAATCAAAATGCGCCACGTGTCACCATTGAAAAAGGAAGCCGAAACCACACATCCCCTATAAATAGGAGCCATGGCCAATTCATTTGAGATACCGAAGTTGCATCGAGGATTCAAGCAAAGGGGTAAGTCTCTAGACTCTCTCTGTATTGTTCTTCATGTTCTTCGTGTCCTTCGAAACGTTCTTCGTCGAAAGTCAATAATTTGGACAAATGATCCAATATTGGTTCACGAATGGATGAAGTTTACGTTCTTTGTCGTATGTCCAAGCTGGAGGAAGGATCAAAGCTCTCAAAGCCGTCGAGGAATTCGTCAAAGCCAAGGGAAGGTCTTCAAAGTTTC